ATTGTGCTCAGTAGCTCGGTTGAGCGCGCAGAGGAGTGCCTGGGCAACCTAAGTCTGCAAGGTAGAAAACAGAGGGGTTAAGCACAGATCATCGGACCGTGCTACAAAATAAAAGTAAAAAAAATATAGGAGCCCTACTTCGGCTTTGTGGATACTACAGGTTCTATCTCGGTTTCTGCAAGGTGATTGGTAGCTCGGTTTAAGCAGGGTTTTTATTAGCTACACCTTGGCAAGCGTCTCAGCATACTGGTTGTGGAAACGATTTTGTTAGACCGGTTCATTGTCTAGGGGCAGCTTTCTGAGTTCGGTCTAAAAAACTAAGAAAGCTGGTTTAGCCCCAAAGGCCTAAATCAGTTGGAGTTCAGGTATCTCAGTATACTAAGTGCAAACCTAGTTCGGTTGGTTACCTCAGTTAAGGGCTACCAAGAAGTGGTTTGACTTATTCAAAGCTACTGACATAAATATGAAGTGTTAGTTCGGTTGTAAGCTAACTAGAGTTTTACCTAGCTTAAACAGTATCCTAGTTCGGATGCATCATGATTCTGGATCAAAAGCTAGTTTTCTACAGGATATTACATATACTCATATGTTCTACTGTTAGGTTTTTTCTATAGAAGTACAGAGCAAAGCAAGACAGAAAAAGTGTTTGCAAAAAGCACACAAAACAAAATACACAGATACGAGAGCAAAACAGAGCAAGAAAAATGGATTTTCTTACCAGATTGAAGAAGAAGACCTGGAGATGGAAGCAATGGCAGTAAAAGAAGCACACGAAACAAAGCTTCACAGTTGCAAAAGTTGGAGAGCAATGGAGCTTGAAACAAAGAATGAGGGAAATAAGAAAAACTGTGGTAGAGCCAAAGATGAGAAGGTTGTTTTGTGAAAAGGACGAAAGGAGAAAGTTTAGGCGGGATTGTTCAAATTTCACGAAGTACGAAGACGGCGTGACAGCCGTCCTCAGTCAATCAGAGCGTGCCACGTGTCATTAGAATGGGAAGCGTTACAGTCGCTATGATTGAAGAGACGTTTTGACCGGACAAGTAGAGCCCGGAGTGAAATAAGCTCAGATGGAAGGCTAAAGAGCTTTTAGCCCGGCTGGAGAGGCTAAAGGGTTTTTTAGCTCGGCTGGAAAGGCTTAAAAACTTCAGCTCGGCTGATAGGCAGGTAATCCTAATCATGTTGTGCAGATGGAATTAAGGGGCAATTGAGAGGGTAATTTTGGTGAAAATTGGGCCGTGCTATGAGATGGACATTATGACCAAAAGCATGAAGGGCTGGGTAAAAAGGCTGTAAGATTACTCCGGTCCAAGAGAGGTAAAAGATTACTTCGGCCCAGAAGAAGTGTAAAGTTACTTTGGTCCGGAAGCAACTTGTAGTTAGGCCGGACTCAGAGTTAGTTCGGTTATAACGTATTATGGTTAGAACGGTCAGAACCTTGCTACTTGGAAGCTCGGTCTAAACGTACCATGGGTTGTACATGAGAGAACCGAGATAAGGAGGAGTAGAAGGAAGAACCGAACTAAGGATAGTTCGGCCAACTCTGTGGCTCAGCATAGCCAGTTTTATTTCGGTCATGTTGTGGTTCGGCCATGGTAAAAACCATCTCACTTGGTTTAAGCAGTGAGGGGGGTGTTAAAGGATAAGCATTTTCCTACAGGAGTATGAATCCTAGGAGGACTCTGTACGGAGGAATAGAAGTCCTATTAGGATTGTGCCACGCGAAACCTATAAAAGCTCACAAACATCACCTTTGGTGAGGTAACACACAACTTTGCTTTCTGAATTCACAGAGCTTTGTCTATTTGTCAAGTTTGCTGACTTAGGCATCGGAGAGGTTTTCGGCACACACCCGCCGGCTATCTCACGTTTGTGTTTTCAGGTGATAAGGCGACGTCGTACGGAGGAGCGCAGACTTGGTCAACAGGATTATACGAGAAGGTTTATTTCTTTCCCGTACAATTTGTATATATTTTTTTAAAAAAATTTAAAAATTTTATTTAGTTTAAATTTTTTGAATTTTTTTTAAATCATTCTGTCTCTCCTACATATCAATCAATTATTTTTTTTTCTCTCTTTTCTCTCATTTTCAATCATTTTTTCGCTCAACACGTCTACTCAATTACAACAAAATATCAAATTATTTTAAACTCCTAAACTATTTTCAAAATTTACAAACAAACAAACCAAAATTTTTTTTAAACTCTCTCCCTAATTTTTTTTTAATCTCTCCTACATATCAATCAATCATTTTTTTTCTCTCTTTTCTCTCATTTTCAATCATTTTTTCGCTCAACACGTCTACTCAATTACAACAAAATATCAAATTATTTTAAACTCCTAAACTATTTTCAAAATATACAAACAAACAAACCAAAAAAATTTCTAAACTCTCTCCCTAATTTTTTTTTAAAAATTTATCTCAAAACACAAACTAAACACACCCTTTATATTTTTAAAATAATATAAATTTTCCGCATGTATAATATAAATTTTTTTACGTTTGATGCAAGTTCTTTATGTATATCAAAATTATACTAAAAAAAAAAAATTATCTATAATTTAATTTTTTTTTATTATCCCACTGATTTGTGATTTCTCCATTTTCTTTTCTTAGACCATCTCCAACGGTTCATCAAAGTTGACATCAAATTTAAAATTTGGTGAAAAAGTTACTATTTGGTGCTCCAACGGTTGCACCAAATCGATATCAAAATGAGATTTCACCAAACAATTCATCAAACTGAGGACAGAATACTGATTTCATCAAAACACTGTTTGTGACCGTTGGGGGAGACCAACCGGTCAACCAGCCGCTTGCCCGGCCGGTTGACCAACCGGTCGACCACCAAAAGGTTCAAACAGTTCCAAGAAAAGGTTCAAACAGTAAAAAAAAAAAAAAATTTTGCCTTACCGGTTGACCAACCGGTTGGTCAACCAACTGGTCGACCACTAAAAGGTTCAAATTTTTTTTTTTTTTTCCGCCTAACCGGTCGACCGGCCGATCGACCAATCGGTTGTCCGACGCAAATTTGATGAAAGTTCACCGTTGGAGCGAGTGATATCAAATTTGGTCAAATGGGTCATTTTTGACTCAGATTTGATGAAAAAAGAAATGTACCGTTGGAGATGCTCTTAGATATCTTATCCCCTTTTTCCTTCTCTCCTCCTCCTCCTCCTCCTCCACACAATACTTTGGATTTTGCTAATCACAAGCTTAAGGGATGTCAATAAAAATTGTATAGAACTAAAATATTTATAATTTAATACACATTTTACATAACATTTTTATAAGTTTTTTCATTTATTTTTTTATATATTTCAATACATCTTATACACATTTTTTAACACTAACAACAACCCTTAGGCTATTTTTAGCGTTTTTCATAATATCAACTCTAATTCTATTTTAACAAAAATTAATTATAAAATTGGACATAAATTTTAATTTGTATATGAAAACTTGGTTGTTTGTTTGGAATCTTTCAGATAAATCACATTTTTAAAATCTTTTTTATTTTTAGTGATATTTTTTCAAAATTATGTCTAAATTCTTAATTTTTTCCCCAATTTGTATAGATGAATTAAAAAGTATTCTTTTTTTAAAATTTCAAAAAAAATATAAAATAAAAAAGTCAAAATAAGTCGAAAGGTCCACTATTTTTTGCCTTTTTCAGATTTTGTATGAAATTTTTGATTTTTGATTAGCCTCGTGAAGTAAAATTTAGAAGTTTAAAACTTTTTAAAATTTTGAAAATAAAAATCACTAAAATTAAAAATGAGTCAATAAAAAAATTACCAAAAAGGCAAGCCTAAACATCCATTAAGGGGATGTTTGGAATTGATTTTTTAAAAATAATTTTTTGACTTTTAAAACAAATATGTAGAAAACATAAAAAGAATGATTCCTTAATTTACTATTTAACTTTTAGATAATTGATAATTAGAATTTTTTTTGATAACTTTAGGCCCCGCTAAGTTGATGGATAATTATTTAATAATTTTAAAATATAAATGAGTGATATTTCATTTGTGATTGATGAAAAAATAATTAAATAAAATATTTTATTAAATAATTAAAGAACATAAAAAAATAAAATATATTATGATCGATTGAAGGTAGAAACACGTAACCTATAATTTTCCCACACGTCTTTCTTGGTCCAAAAAGCCAAACCACTGTCGGCATGTTCCTCTCTCTCCTTCTGTCTCTCAATCATATACACCCTTTGCCAAGCTCCTTGTGATCTTTTACTTCCAATCTTTCCTTAAACCTACAAACTGCAAAGGCTGTACTGACCAATTTGGCACAACCTTTGATTTGATCTCCACAAACTCGAAAAACTCAAACACCTATTAGAGCATCTCCAATACATTCTTTATATCTTTAAATATAGAGGATTTGTTGTTCTAAACTATCTTTTAAATCTACCTCTATTTGGGAGGAGGATAAGTTGATCCTCCAAATATGAAGGGAGGATGAAAAATAGAGGATGTCCTCCAAAATACTATTCATTCTATATTTTTTATTATATTACAAATAACTTTTAATATGTAAATTTAATTTTTATAAAATTAACATTATTAAAAAATGTGAAATCATACCTTTAAAATGAGTATAATATTAAATATATTTTACAAAAATTTTAAAATTAAATATTTGTTAATGAACAAAAATTACTTTTTAATGAAGGACGGATGAAAAATTTTGAAAGTTTATGATTAAAATTTAAATGAATAATAATATACTCTATATTTACTTTTTTTAATAAAAAAAATTATTTTGATCCTCTTAATAAGAAGATTGGGTTGGAAATACTCTTCAAAGCTCACAAAACTCTCTCTCTCTCTCCCTTAAATAATTGCACCACCCTTGATAACCCATCTTCCAAGATAGCACCACTCTTGATAACTCATCTTCCAAGATTCATCAATCTCCAAATTCTGAGCTCCCCCCAATTCATACACACGAACAATACTACTCTCAAGCTAGAGAAGAAGCCATGAAAGAGAAGGGCAAGGCTGTGGAGACATACAACAACTACTACTCATCATCATCAGACCTTCCATGCCCAAAACACCCATTTTCATCATCCATCGGGATTTGTGCTCACTGCCTTAAAGAAAGGCTAATAAACCTGGTTTGCTCAGACTGTGGAGAACAAAGACTCTCTTCATGTTCTTGCTCTGGTGTCTCTTCATACCCAAATTCTTACTTTGCTGAGGTGGGTAGTGTTGGAAGAATCTCATTCCTTATAGAGAATGAAACAAAGCTATCCCATTCAAACCCCACCATCAAGAGGAGTAATAGTAGCTGTGTTGGTATTGTTAAGAAAAGAAGTGGATTTTGGAGGATTGGGAGGCTTTTTAGGAAGAAAAGAGAAAAGGGTTGTGATGAGAGGAGTGAAATGTGGATGTTTGATCACATGAGTATTTCTAGGTCTAGGTCTCTATGTGGTTTCAGGGGTGGAAGTTTTTATAATGACCCAGAAGAAGAAGATCAAAGTAATGATCATCAATTTGCATTTTCAAGTGCTAAAATCTCTGATTCTGAGAGGATGAGTGGTTTTAGTGAAACAGAGAACAGAAAAAGTGGATTGAAAGGTGTGTCGGATGGTAAAACTGGTTTGAATGGTACCAATACAAACAAAAGTGTTTTTCCAGTTAAAGAAAGTGATTTGAGTCTCATGGAGGAGTCAGGATTTATTGACTTAAAGATTGATTTATCATCATCATCAGAGTCAAAACCAGAGTTCTCTGTTGTGAAGAAGAGTGAAGTCTCATCAGTTTCAGATTTGGGTAGTTTGAGAGGTGGGGTTTTTTTGGGACACCATGAATGTTGTGAAGGTTCTTTTGGGATTTCAGTGAATGGCGATGACATTGGAATCAAGAAAGACAAGAAAGGCTATAAGGCTTGGAGATGGATCTTCAAGCACCATCTCAATTGGAAAAGCAGTGCAACCAAGTAAGAAAGGATGAAAATCATGTATAGAATGAAGGGATCTTTTGTTTTTCTTTGGGTTAATTTCTTTTTTTCTTTTTGGGTAAGTAAAATTGGGTTAATTTCAGTTTATCCCTTAAATTATTATTATTATTTTATTTTTAAACTATTGATTTGGTCTATTTAATCTTTAATATATATATTTTTTGGTTTCTGTCCATGTGATCCAATTAAAAATGGTTGTACAAATTAATCAACGTTAATCTTTAATTTGATGGGCAAAAAGGTAATTCTATGTTTTTATATAACTAAGATCTCATTTGGCATGCAATAATTTTAGTTTAAAAGTCAAAAAATTATTAAAAAAATTAAAAAACTTATAATTTATACTAAAAAAGTCAAAGGTTTCTGTTGTGGTTGGTAAGACTTTTCAAAATTAATTCTATCTTTACATTCTAATCATATGTTTGGTAAAAGTTTTTGAATCATAATTCCAAATCAATTTCAAAACACATTTAGGCTTCATTTGGGAAGCCAAAGGTTGATTTTTTTTGGGCTACAATAGCCACAAAAAATAAAATATTACATTCAACTCATAATAATTACATTTTTTTCTTACAAAAAAGTTTAAAAAGCCAAAAAAATAAAAAATTATTTACAATAAGTCCCAGGCTATAATAACCAAAAAAGTTAAAAAGTTAACACACTTTTCAAATGAACCCTTAGAAAATATGTTTGTTAAACCAGACATTTTTTGAATTTTTGATCTATCCGGATGTCCAGCCGGTTGATCGGAACAGTGAAAATTTATTTATTTATTTATTTTTTACAATTGCCAATCGCCATTTGTTATTTGGAAAAAAAAATATTATTTTTTGATATTTTTTAAATATATAAATTATTTTTTTAGACCAAAATGACAAATTATTTTTTTAATTAAAATTTAAAAAGAGTTTGGATATGAGTTTTGAATAGTGTTTTGAATTGTGTGTTTGGTTATGAGTTATAAGTTTTTCAATTAAGTTTTGAAAACTCTTTTTAAAAGTCATAACCAAATAACTTTTCTCATTTCATATGTCACATCAAAAATTTAAAACTCAATTTAAAACTCATAACCAAACAAATTATTTCTTTTCAAATCGTAATTCTAAAACTCACAAACTTAAATACAACTCTATTTTCAAATCATAATTTTAAAACTCTACCAAACACTATATTCATTTTCTCTCTAACTTTTGCACATTTTTAAAAATTAAAAAGTTATTTCAAACATACTAATTTTTTTTAACTCGTATTTTAGCCAAAAATTAAAAAAGTTACTAAAATAGCATATTCCTAAATGAGACCTAAGACTTATTTTAGTAAGATGGTTAAAAGTTGATTTTTTTTTTTTATTTTTAAAAAAAAATATATAAAAAATATGAAAATTAATGTAATTCAAAATAAATTAAAAATTGACTTTTAGTCTTTTTCGCTCTTTCCAAAAGAGCCCTCAAATAATACAAACAAACATCAGTTAAATTGGTTGTAAGGTGTATAATTTATTCAAAATAATTAGAAAAACAAGTATGTTGTATATTCCTTCCTAGCAAGGATCCTCTAGAGTTTTTTTTTCCTAAAATTTTCTAAAGTGGTGCATTGTGTGGTTGAGATTTAATGACAAGTCACATCAATTTTTCAGCATTAAATCTCAATCACACAATACACCACTTTAGGAAACTTTAGGAAAAAAACACTCTAGAGGATCCTTGGTGATTCCTTCTGTCCCAAAACAATAGTCTTTTTTAGGAAATATAATTTTTTTTTGATAGTATAATTATTGTATTTTAAAAAAATTAATTTTTCAAAAATACCCTTTAATAGTACATTTTTTGAGAAATATTAATCATAATTGTACTTTTTGTGTTGTTTTTGAATTTAAAATAATGGCAAAATAAGAAATTCATATTATTTTAATTCTTGATTTTTGAAAAAAGACTAATATTTTGAGATAATAAAAATGAAATAAGCAACTAATATTTTGAGATAGAATGAGTAATTTAAATTGTTCAAATTAAGAAATAATTTTTTTTCTCATTAAATTAAGATTTCAACAGTTATTGATTTGTATATTTGTTTTCAATTGGATCACATGAATATAAATTAAAAATTTTAAGAACAAAATAGATAAAATTAATAATTTAGAGATGAAATTAAAAAATTGAAAATAGTTTAAAGGAAAAAAATAAAATTAATTTTTTTGTTTGGGTGAATTACACTAACGGTTCTTATAGTTTGGGGCTTGTGATACATTTGATTTTGAATTTTGAATCTTGTTCCAAATAAAGAGAATTGAAGACATCACTTTCTTTGCAAATGAAAAATGCTCTATTTCGAGGACATGTCGTCAATTTGATGAAATATAAACTAGTTTAACAAAAATAAATATTAAAAAGTTATTTTTGAATTTTAAAAAATTATTTCTACTCTCCAAACATAAAATTATATAAAAATGATAATTTTTTTATTTTTTTACCAAATTAATTTTTAGTATGTATTTGGATGATAATCATGTAATGATTGATAATTCTTGTTGATATTTTTGGATAGTTATTATGTAATAGATGGTTGTTTTTGTTGTTAACAGATATTTTTTGATGGTTATATGTAAGAGCATCTCCAATGGTAGTTGTTATATTGGCATTGTTATTGCTATAATTTGGCAATGAATAGTGTTATTTTGCCAAATTATAACAATGGTGCTCCAATGGTCATTTGTTATTTTTGGCAAAGCTTAACCAACTTTTCCTCCAACTTTGTAGGTGTAGTTTGGATATAGGTTTTTTGTGATTTTATTTTTGTTTATTTTTTGTCTTTTGTGACATTTTTTTACCTGTTTGTTAAAAAAAATTATATATTTATATTATTCCCAACTAGACAAATATAAAAAATATAAAAAATTGAAAAATTGGAAAAAAAAATTTGATCGATTAATTCACCCCACCAAAAAACATATCACCTCCTATTTAATAAATTCTACACATAAAAAATAAACAATCACCAATTACCCACTAACAACCAACCACCAACAACCATCCATTATTAACCCAACATTCATTCACTAACAACTATCCACCCGACAACCACCTATTATGAAGCCACCTATAGACACCCTATTTTTGACCGTCCTTAAGATTTGGACGTCACCGTTTGAACACTCGGTGATCATCCTTGTTTGTGTTCGTCTTGAGTTCTCGGAGGTCTTGGCTACGCGCCTTACCTCAGGATTTCTCGACTCGACTCCAAACACTTGTGTTTGGTCTTACACCAAACACTTGTGTTTTTGCTTTGGAGGGCAGGGAATGCCTTGTTGGCCATCTCCACACTCCACCGGCCATGGCTTGAGGCCATCGGCTGTGTCTTGTTGCTATCGGCCAAATGTTTGGCCGACCGGCACTCTAGATGGTCGACTGACCATCTATTTTGGTCAAATTGCATTTTTGACCGGCCGACCATTGTTCATCTGCTTTTGCAGATATTTTTATGCCAGTTGTGTGTCACGATCCCAAACCGCCCCTAGTAGTTTGGTGCCGTGATGGCCAGTAATCCGAGGTTACCGAAGGCCAACTTTCAAAATTCACATACAACAGAGTAAAAATATATGGGGCTCACAAGTACGGAAGCAATACATACAAATCAGATTAGTCCATAAGAGCGGTGCGTAATTCAAATGAAATGGCAAACATCTTCACATGGGTTACAACTTAATTACAAATGAAGCAAAATACAAATTTCATCTTGATCAAAAGGCTTCTCAAGCCGACGTGTGCAAAATACAAGTATTACAAATCGAGAAGCATAATTTTCAAGACTGCCGACGTAAATGCAAGTCAAGCCGACATAATCAAAAATCCAAAACAAGCTTGCGAATCACATCTAGGCGTCATCGCCTTCTTACTCATCACCTACATATATATAGAGAGGGTGAGTTTGGATACTCAGTGAATGATATAAATAATAAAGGGTTTGCATGAATAATAGCCGAAGTCTTTTCAAAACAATACATGTCAAAACTTTATATAACAAGGGATGGACCTCGTCCATCTAACAAATCTTCAAAGTATCAAGGGATGCTTACTAGCATCAACATATTACAAATGATGACATTCCGACAAACAAAACCACGCGGTAAGCCGTCGGTGGCAAAACAAAACAAAGCAAGGGCGATATCTCAACAAGGGTGCTACAAAAATTTAGAGTCCTCTAGCACAAAGGACCTATGTTACAAGGGCCCGTAGCCCTTTAACACGAGAGTACTGCGAAAGTTTAGAGTCCTCCAGCACAAGGGATTTTCAAAACAAGATGTGCAGTTGCATTATAGTCCCCTAGCACTAAGGACTTTCAAAACAAGATGTGCAGTTGCATTATAATCCCCTGACACTAAGGACTTTCCGAGAAGGTCATCAAAGCAAGTATAATACAAGATACAAAATTAGAGACAATCATTCATGCTTAACAAATACTTTTCAAAACAAAGCAAAGCAAAGCAAAGCTCATCAAAACATTGATAACATAGCTTTATTAAAAATACCACTCACATAGTTCTTCAAACGTCGGTGTCAAGGCAAGTCTAAGTCCTACAAACACATGGCAAAGTCTATTGAATGCACTTCTCAAAACAAGTCTTGCATGCATGCAAATGACCTCAGCGTTCTTCAAAGACTAAGTCAAATCAAAACAAAACACAGTTTCTTATCTTGGGAAAACATGCTGGGGAACCACCAGGTCTTGGCCGAGGTCCCACACCTTCTTACCGAGGTGTGGTCCCGACGGCCACATTCAAAAGCAAAGTCGGGAAAATCTGGGTTTCCCTCTTGATAAACATGAAGAACATGAGCATGAAGAACATAAAGAACAAGGATGCTAAAATCATAACTTGTTTATTACAAACAGAACTGGGATTTCATGCTATGAGTTCGAAAACATGGACCTGGGTACCCATACTAAAAGATCTTGTGAGAACAAACACAAAAACATAGTTCTTGATGC